CCACGCCCGAGTGCGCCAGCCTGCAGCCACGTGAGCTGCGAGCGTACCCCTGGCTCTGCAGGCAGGCATATTCACGGCACTGCTCAAGAAATGGAGCTGAACACTGTACACAGGCAAAGACACCGTGAGATGTACAAAAAGGGGCTTTATTTCTAAATCAATAGCCAGGCAGCCTACCCGATTCCCGAGTCTCAATCTTTTAAGACATGAAAGCAGTGTGGAAAATAATATTCTATTTCTTTCTTTTTCTACAAAGCCCAAAGTTCAGCAAACATTGTAGCTGACTAGTGTTTCAAACTCCCCAGTGATTTCTGATGCGCAGCAGGGCCAACTCCTCGTCCTGACCCACGCGCAGCTGTCCCGTAGGAGAGAGGAGGCACGCCAGTTCCTCTCCATCTTTCCCTCGTTTTTAAACCACCTGCAGCTGGAGTAAACTCAAAGTAGATAAAAACCAAACCACTTTTCTCACAATTACAAACAGGAAGATGAGGTTTGATGCAGAAAAAGAATTCAGCCGGGAATGAAAACGGGAACGTCTTCCAGCTGAAGACAAACGAACTGAGTTTCAAAACACAGTTTCAAAGCATCAAAACGTGGACTAACAGCCAGGTCCAAACATCCCATTCCTGTGGAGGGGCCAAGTTATTTTAGCACTAAGAGCCATGACTTTGTACTGCAGAACAGGATGAATTCTGTTCAGCAGCTTCATTTCTACACAGCCCAAAACATTTTGCTTTTTCAAATTCTTAAAACTCTAAAGAACCAAATAATTTCCTTATTATTACAATGGAAACATCAAGGGGACACTACACAGTTAACATCAGGCCCACTGAATGGCCCGTGCACCATTCACATCCCGCTTTGAAGGATAAATAAGCCAAACGGGGGGTTTATGTGGCACCTGTGCAGAATGAAGGGGAGATGTTTATTATCGGGAGAAGTACTAGCAGGATTTTAAGGAACAGGCCCACAAGTTGCAGCACACCGTGGCGGGAAAGGGAAGGTTAAAGTAAAAAATAAAAGGGGGTGGGTGGGAGAGGGAATGGCATTTTAATTACCAATACTCACTAGTTAAAACCAGTGGATGCAAAGAGCAGCAATAAGGGGCTAAACAAAAGAAGCAAAGATGAAAAACTAAATGCCGGGGAATATTAATCAAGTGAGAAAATATATAGGATTTAATGCATTAAATAAAATAATAAAGTGGCAACGTTAGAGCGATGGGAGAAGGTACGTTCTCCCTCTCTTCGCAATTTTTTTCCTCGAGACCCAGTTTTGCACTAGACTCACTGGAAGAGGCAAGCCGTGGGCCCCAGTCTCAGCGACGATTTCGCTGCTGTGCCAAATAAGCCTTTCTTGTAAACACACAAACAGTCCTTGGCATAGAGACCCATCTTGAGATCTCAGCGAATCTTGCCAGTGACCAACCTCCTCCCTGCCCCGGGGAGTCAGGCTCCTTGCTGCCTCCCCCTGGGCTAAGGCACTTCGCGTCGGGGTTTAGCTTGTTATTTTTAATAGCAAAAAGGCAGCGCTTCAGGGAGAGGAGAGGGGCCTGTCCCCACGCAGAAAAGGGCTTGGACATGCTGGGAAATATGAGAATATATAACGCAGATCTTTGGCAAGGACTCTGACCAGCAGCTCCTGAGGAGTGACTCTGCTCTCCCTTTGAAAAGGATGGATCAGGGGCCCGTGTCTAGATGATGGTTTCACACTGTGAATTCCAATCTGGCACAGGGATGCTCTGAGGCCCTGATTTAGGGGCTGATAGTCCCCAGACCAGATGGGGTTTAAGGCATGCCCTTGTCATATAAGCTTAACCAGTTCCCTGCCCAGAGTGCTGGGTTTGGTACATCCCGCGCTGCAGGAGGAGAGTCCCAGCTCCGGGGCCGCAACGCTGATCCCCCTAGAAGCAGGATACCGCAATGCACAGCCTTGCAAAGCCTAACACGTTTGCAGATCTAGGCTTCATATTTAACAGTCACAGTAATAAAAAAAAATTCACTTTTCTCATCTTCCTGCAAAAGCACTTTCTGTGCCTTGTTCTGAGTGTTTTTTTTAACGTCAAATTGTTTGCCATTAATGAATTAACTGGCAAAGAGATCTCTCTTCAATTGCTCTCTGGAAAGATGGGATTTGGAGAAATGGTCTGCAACACCTTTCAATTCAACTTGGCATTGTAACATCATAGAAAACAAATCATTTAGGAAAAAAAAGAGTTATATGAATTTCTGAAGCCAGTAAAACTATTTCCTGCTGTGCTACCTAAGGCTCAGAACTACTTAACAGCATTCACAGCAAATGCAAATGTTAAAAATTAAAGACACCTTGCTTCGAAAGACTTACAACAATCAGACTTAATTCCTTAACAACCAGAATCTTCCTTTTTTCCTTTTTAAATTCCAACCTATTTGACAAGCTCCATATGGTTTTAAGTGACCCAAGGTATCTTACCTTGCCTGTTTTAGCAGCAATCATACTGTTCTGCATTTTCATTGCTTCAATTACACAAATCTCTTGACCTTCTGAAACCTGGTGAAATTAAAGCAGTACAAAATGAGGATAGAGGATTTGAAATGCTCTAAGTGTGTATGATTCTTCTGGAAAATAAAGGGATTATTTCATTAAATGCTAAAAAGACTTTAGTGGCACAAGTCAAGTCAGCACAACACAAACCACAATCACAAATCGCAGTTGCCTTTGACGAACTAGCAGTGACATGGGGAAAAAGGAATCACCTACTTAAAACTATCACCCCAGGCAAAATTTAAAGGCTCTTCTCCCATCCCACCTGTTCAGCTCCAACTCTACAGTTCATGTTTGACATCCATCACAGTTCGACATTAAATCCAGAGCAAAATTTAATCTGTGCAGTTTTGGCTGGGAAGCCTTGCCTTTGCTTCCCTGGCGCAGATCCTGTGGATACTAATCCAGATTCAGAAGCCAGAAGTTTCTTGGCACATGTCCGGGGGAGCACGGGCCGGAGCTCTGGCAATACCCAACGGGCTAATGCTGAGCAGAAACTCACACCTCTGCACGTGGTGGGATCCCGATGGCGGCTGATGACTTTGGGCTGAGGGAAGGGAGCATGCCTGCAAGGAACCACCGCCTCTCATCCGCAAGGGAGGCATCATGGAGGCAAAACCATAATTTCCACCACTGCTGATAGCCCTTAAAGGGAAACATTCAAGTGCCCTCTTTCTGCTTCTCTGCACTCTGCTAACAGGCATGCACAAGCTCAAGGTCACCAGTGACCCACTGGGCTGCTCTGCTGGGCTCCCTGTGCCTCCCAGTCAGATCCTCCCTCCAACGCCTTGGGCCACGCTGTGCAGAGGAAACAGCCCCTCGGGGCTTTACAGCGGGCCAGGGGTGGCTGCCTATAGATGCGGGGAAAAGCAGGGGATTCAGAATTGATCCTTCATGTAACCCAGCGATCAGCCAGTCATCCTAAAAAGATGATTTATGCCAGAGAGGGAAGGGTGCTGGGCCCTACGCACCAGTATTTAGGACTTGTGCAGGTACACCCCTCTGGGACGCTTGGCTCCAAGCACCCACTGCAAGTCTTTTCATGAGGCTCTTTTGCAGATGCAGTCTGCCATTCACTCATTACCCCAGCAAATTTGGGATGCTTTCACTCTGATGTCAAAGTTTCATTAAAGAGGGTAATTTGAGACCCACAGAGATCTGGTCTATGCATTGTTATATGTGCTAGTTCCCTCAAAATGTGTTTATTTATATACATACATATAGTTCTCTAAATATATGTGAAATTAATAATACATGTTTAAGGACAAATGTGTACCACTTTGGAGGAATACACTGACAGACAGGTGTAAAGTCAAAATGCCTATTGCATAAGGTACATTCTGAAAATTTAAATAAAAAGGGTTTTTTTCCTCTAAAGTGTGCACTAGTGTTAAACATTTCCCAGTGCTACTCTTGGCCAATGTCAACTGTACATTTGATAAGCACTGACTGAGAAGCATTGATGTCTGCCTACAGATTCTGAGCAAGACAGAAGAAAAGATGTTATGTTAAAAGGTGCTTACAAGGGGATGGGCTTTTGGGGGTAAATACGGAAAGTTTTTGCTATGGGAACATGGTGTGCCAACCGGATACAGAGAATAACCAACACCCAACACTTCACCTGCAGAAATTCCATCCCAAGCTTCAGGTGAGCATTTAAGTCATTAGCAGTGTCAAATTCAGTGAATAGTATCAGACTCGTTCTTTGTCCCCAGTTATTTCCCTTCTCTTCCGTTTCCCCATCTTTTGTCTCTCTCCTTCCACACCTGCTGCTCTGTCTGTAGCTTTGTCCCAGCTGCTCTTTCTTCCCTTCCTCACTTTTCCTCCTCTTCTGCCTACCTCACTGCTCAGCTTTTCGTCCACCTGCTCTGAACTTTCCAGACATTTCTGAGGTTAAGAGGAAGCAATGAATATCTACTTCTAAAGAAGAAAAGAAAAGAAGAGAAAAGAAAAGAAGAGAAAAGAAGAAAAGAGAAAAGAAGAAAAGAGGTTTTTTGAGGGTTCTTACAGCATATTTCAGAAACAAATTTGCCACCCTCTGGTTAAACTCAGCTACCAGAGCTCCAAGAACATGGGCCTCTAAAGGCTGCTGAAGATTGAGACACTAAGGGCTGCAGATCTGAATTAAGTGGCCTAATTTTAAGGGCACAAGAAACTGTCCTCTTGAGCCCCAGCCTGATTCAGCTTGCCAAAGTGTAAGATGGCTTCGCCAGGTGCATGTGATGCAAATGGATCAGTTAGCAATTATCTAAACAGAGTTCTGGAAATGGAAATACATCTGCTGGAAAAGCACAGAATTGTGGCTGTAGATCTTAAGTACACCTGTAAAATGCAAAGAAGTATTAGAGGCTGTGGCATGGAAATGTCCATGAATCTGAATTTCTGCTCAGTTTCCCCCCCCCCTTCACAAAAATAAAGTTTTTGTGTTTTATAGAGTACCTGCTGGGTTGATGACAAAGGAAGTGGTGTCTGAGAAAGAAATAACCCACCCAACCCGCAAAATATATAGACAAAGTACCCAGTTAACATCTAGTCTTACTAATTTGGAAGGAAGGAGGCACTTTCAGCACTTACCACGTGTGTAAATGCTGTGGCAGTACTTCTGATGATGTGCAATTTGTTGAAAATTACCTTGGCAAAAGTGTCACTTAAGCACAGAAGTTTAATTACTGGTCTTATGTGAAACCTTTACAGCTCCACTCATTGTGTTGCAAAGCGACAAATCCTAAAATTAGGCACTTGTATCTCTCTCTTCTCTTTTTCGGTCTTTTGGGCATTGTCCAATTTCTTTCATTCCATAATTGCACATATCCTTTTGCCTGTTATTTAGCCTGCAAATGAAAACCACGGCGATGCGTATGAGTTCTTGCTTTCTAACTTATTTAAGGATTTATCTGGACCATTTTTAATGTTGCATTTTCATGGTATAATTTCTTTCTTTCAGTGGATGGTAAACCAATGTAAACCACCATCTTTACATTTCAATTTAGAGAGGTCTCAGTGATGACCCAAATCTGTCAAAACAGGCAAGTAAAATCAAACAAAAAATCTGATTGACTGGAACCAAGTAAAATAAAAGGGCTCCTCTTCTTAAAAGAAATTAAACTGAGGTATCTTTCTCACAGAGTTACGCTACAGACAAATCGACCTTTACATTGCTTGGAATATCAAAATGAATGAGTGATTAACTGTTAGATTTGCAGTCTGTATTTTTGTAGTTTATTTCTGCATGGAGCAGTTCAAAATATCTGTTCAGATTTGGACTCCATAGAATGAAAAGAGAAAAAAGGAAAAAAAAAAGGGGAGGGGGGAGGGAAAAACAAAATCCTTGAAGAGGAGTGTACTTAACATCTCGATGTTGCTAACAATTCTGACATGAATTTGGGAACAGTCAACAGCGCTGCTCATGTAACTTGGGGACCGCACGGTGGTTGTTATCTCCTCTGGCCGAAAGGTTACAGGCAGGACAGAGAACTGTCTCCAGCCATTTCCCGACCAAGCAACTCACGACACGGGCTGGAAGCCGAATTTGAGAAGCAGCAACCCCGAGCCATTTTCACCACACCTACAGGGGGACCATAAAGACTAATTGCGCTTACAGATGGGTCTCCTTAAAACTCACGAGACACAAAAAGACAGCGCGCGCCCGAGGGCATTGCTGCCACGGGATCTTTGTGAATATGGTACACTTTTCTCAGACTTTTGTGCGTCATCTGATAAAGACTTAATGCTTGTGACAGGACGTCTTCGATGTTAGGCTTACAAAATGGTCACAAGCCCCACAAGTCTTTCTGATAAACCCAATGGGCGCTGATGTATTTCCCCGCTCTCCGTCTAATTGGTGTAAAGTTTGCGGATCTGAATCCCCGATCTTTTATCCAGCTTGCTGCGTCCTCTCCTTTGACATGAGGTCAGAGTTCACATTCGCATCCGATTATCGAAGTGGCACTCATTAACCGGCAGCCTGCCTCGCACCAAAATGAGTTCGCTGGAAGGGGAACTCGGCCCATTTACTCAGCAGATTTTAGCATTTTAAGGAGGCCTGAATGTCACACAGTATTGCTACGTTTTGAGGAGTTTCAGACATCTCCAGCTGATGATTAATTGTGAGTGATGGGAAATAAAATCCAGTAAAGCCAGCTGCTTGCCATGGTCGGCAAAATTACTATAATGGATATAGGCTGCCAATTTTCCAGTTTTACTGGCAAGTCTTCCAAGTGTAATTAAGGGAAGTTATAAATGATATGGAAATCTATCAAGTCCCATTTATTTTCAGAGGAGTCTTTCCCCTGAGACTTTTATCTTCAAGCTTATAGTTTGCTTTGTTGTGCTAATGATTTAAACCACTTCTTATTTCTGATTAAAGCCCCCAATATCCTTCATAAGAAGTTAGATCCACTTTATTCGGAAGGATTTAAAGAAACAGAAACCTTTTTAAAGTTGTGTTTGTTAACTGTGCTGAGCTCTCGCTTCCTCTGCGGAGGCACAGCAGAGTATCCTCCATCTTAGGCACCTCGCTACCGTCTGGACATCTGCTTCCGACAAAGTCTGAGGATTGGGAAAGATCTGGGGGTAGGGGGAGGGAAAAGAGGGAGTAATAAAAATGAAATTTAAAAAAAATCCACCACCACCAAAACCCCAACTTCCCTCCAAACCCTAAATCCTCCAAAAACAAAGATCGTAGGTGCTGTCTTAGACACCAGACATTTAGCACAGGGTGGTGTTGCTCACTAATGTTGTTTGATTTGGAATAAAAGCATGAAAATGATGTGCAAAGGCCTAAAATTGGAGATGTAAAGGATGACTGCACAGTATTCCATTTCTCAATTTCATCCTTCAGAGCCACAAAATGGGGGTGATACAGTTACTGGATGAGATTTACAGTAACAGCTGTGGTCTTCCCACACAAGGGAGGACCTTCTAATGGGCTAAGGTCTGTTTTGAACAGACGGGGAGTAGCAAAACAAGGTTCCCTATTAAGGCTGTGCAGTAATATTCCTGATAAA